CCCAGGGTACAATAAAAATCAGAAATTTTCTTGCGCAAAGAAATGTGTTCAATGTAGATAGATGTGAGGAATCACTTTCTTAACTTTGGAAACATTTATAAACAAGGTTAGAAATTTCTTGTCTTGGAAGGTTGGAGGAAGAGTTTTAACGGTGCTTCTGGTTTATCCTGGGGGGGGGGGGGGAACGTTCCAGGAAGAAAGATTGGTTCCCTCTGGGGCAAAAGGAATATAGTCCAAATAGGGCAATTTAGCCTGTAAAGTAGTCCTTGATTTACAACCATTCTTTTAAGTGACCATTTGAAGTTACAACTTGGCACTGGAAAAAGTGATTTATGGTCGTTTTTCCCGCTCTTCTCATTGCAGCATACCCACAGTCATGTTATCAAAATTCAGAGGTTTGGCCCCGGCCAATATTTAGGGTGGGGTCCTGGGAATCCCCTTTTGCAACCATCCAACAAACAAGAGCCAATGGGGAAGCCAGATTACTAACACAACCGTGTTACTAACTTAACAAGTGCAGTGATTCACTTAACAATTGTAGCAAGAAAGGTCGTAGAATGGAGCATGTTTCACTTAGGGTTGCATGCAGTTTTTGCTGACAGAAGCACCATGGGCTGGTCCTTCACTGTTTCCAGGGTGGCCCCACAGACCAATTCTAAGCACCCCGCGAGCCAGATCCGGTCTCCAGGCCTTGAGTTTCACACCCCTCTTTTAGATGATTCATTTTGTGGCCCACGTACCTCTGTTGTTCCTCTTGCATCCATTCTGGTCTACAAGGTCCTCCTTGTTTGTTCTTTTTGATCATATAGGACAGGGGTGTCCAAAATTGGGAACTTTTAAGACTTGTGGACTTCAACTCCCAGAATTCCCCAGCCAGTCATGCTGGCTGGGGAATTCTGGGAGTTGAAAGCCACAAGTCTTAAAGTTCCCAAGTTTGGACAGCCCTGATATAGGATATGCATTTGTAGTCATATCTGTGTGGCCCGTGTAAATAAAGTTATGACGGCAAAAATGCACATTCTAAGTTTTTCTTCCCTCTCAATCCCTCCAGGCAACTGGCGGGAGCAGTTACGTTGTGGAATTGGTACAAACAAGCCTTCTTTGATTCATGAATCAGGCCTTGGAATGGGGCAGTAAGAGAGAGAGAGAGAAAATATGAATCAAAGAATGATTGACTCTCTACATTTGATCGGGCATTACAGAATTTAGTGGAAAGCTTGAGGATTGCTATGCATTTGGGCCATCAATTTTTATGTAACTCAGAAGGTTGAGAGGGACCACTTCATGAGCCTTGACAATCACACTGCTCCCATTGTGTTGTTTCCACATGGTTGGAAATCTGAATTAGCAAAACCTTGGATGGATTTCTTATTTCTGTCACTGTTCACTGGTATGTGAAGAACCTTTACAGTCAGCAAGAAATTCTTGAGCTAATATTTCTGAATAACCGGAACTGTGCAAAAACCATCTTCTTCTCCCTTTCTATTGGCAGATAGGCCGCAGCTTTAAAAAAAGGACCCCAAAAGCAGCTGCCAAAAAAGCCAACACAGTTCTAGGCTACATAAAAAGAGGGATAGAATCAAGATCACATGAAGTGTTAATACCACTTTATAAT